ATCGTGCAGTTTCAACGGAAAGAGCGAGTGCGTCAAGATAGGACTTGTTGTGTTCCGCTTCACAACTTCCAAAAGATCAGCATGCTCATTTTCTTAATGCGCGTCGACATCTCGGTCACCTGTAATGCATTCCTTCCCTGACCACTTTTCATTTGTAGACAAGTAAATAAAATTTAGCACACTGACCAGCGTCAGCGAGCAGGCGCACGAGAAATCCTGGATTATCTATCCCCGTCTCCTCCGCCACCTTGTCACAAACTTCAGAATACTGTAAAACCTTTTATTTTTCGCGGCCCCAATTTTTCGCGAATTGAAAACCGGGGTCATATTCGCGACCTTTGCGTTTCGTGAATTCTAAAGGCTAAAATTCGCCTCTCTAGACAACAGAATAATTCGTGCACCCTAAAGTTCGCGAGTTTTTCAAGTCGCGAAATTCGAGAAAATTGGGGGCTCGCGAACATTACAGGTTTTACAGTACTATCATTCTTCTGGGCACAACGAAAATTTGGGAGTGATACAGAATAACGATAAAACAAAATGCTGCCAAACCAACGTACCTTTGAAAAGCTCCGTAACTTGAACTTCTTTCTCCGGAATCGCCTTAATCCTCAGATACGCCGTTGCTCGTTGGTTGCGAACGTGCAGGCCTTGCGTAGATCATGGCGGCACAGCGCAGCACTCAGCTCAATTTCAGACGCCATGTTCTTCCCAGAAGTGGCGCGCGGCACGTGTCTTGAGCATTTCCACAACAATGAATGGCGCCAGTTTTCCCAGGATAGAGGGGCTTTATTTCTATCTTGTCCGATTGCGCCACCTAATGTCTGGCGCTGCATTGATTGCGAAACTCCTGCACTCTGATGAAGTTACGTCGTCACGTCTCGTAATATTTTTATTATATTTTATTCGATTTAGTCGGTACAACCCATAACGCTCAAGCGCCGTTCACATTCTTGCGACCGAGTAAGATTGAGAGAGACCAGACCGGTTTTTAAGCGTTTTTGCAACTTTTTAGGACCGGATGCGCTGCAGCGAAGCTGGTCCTAAGAAATCGCAAGAGGCTTAAAAACCGGCCTGGTCTCACTCTGTCTTACTCGGTCGCAAGAGTGTGAACGGGCCTTCAGACACCCAGACCAAACGAGACGGGGGTGGCGGCGCATAAAGAAAGAAAAAAAAAAGTATTTCCCCGGACCATCCGGAGTGCTTTGTCAGCACCGTCGCGGAGACTGAGCAATGAAAACCCTTTGCTAGCTCTTCTCGCTTGGCCTGGGAGCCGTGACGCGTACTCCCTTTCACCTTACGTTGTACGGCAGTGAAGGCTAGAAGCGCGAGCTCATAGCGTTGGTAGCTGCCCTTAATACGTGAGGCCTTGGGCGCCGAGATATGCCCTAGAGCGAGGAGCTCGCGCTTGTAGCCTTTCCTGCGGTACATCAAAAGGTGAAATAGAGTATAGCTGGCGTGACAAAGCAAAGCGAGCAGGCTTTAGTTTTTACGCGGTTTTAGCTAAGCCCAAGCGAATTCCCCACGATCGTGCAGACATGTACAAGTTACTCAAAAAAAGTAATTAAGTTACTGAGTATTGACGTCATAAGTAGCTTGAGTAGGAATTACTCAAATAGAAAGTAATTGAGTAGAGTACTAATTACCGTAAAAAAGTAGAGAATTACGTTTGAAGTTACTTTGAAGTTACTTTTATATCTTTTTTTATGGTAAAAAGAAAGTACAGAGATTTTGATCCGTTAGCGAAATCGTGCTAGCCAAATATGAATCGGCTTATTTTGTTTTTTTCACAGAAATGCTTTGATAGCTGGTTCTGTTTCTGCGTGCCTAATTATTTTGTACTATCTTGTTTGTTTGGTAAGTTATGTACTGCGAATGTGTCATTTGTACTTTGAGGTTAAGGACTGTCTGAACTTGATTTTTTAGACAGTGTCTGCTTGTTTACAGTGCAGCGTAAAGTACATCTAAAAAGTACTTCAAGTAAGGTACAAAGTAAATGAGCGGTTATGTACTTCAAGTAAAGTAGTAAGTACACCGGGTGCGATGTAGCTGAAGTAACGTATCAAAATACAATATATTTCAAGGTAAAGCACAAGCACTTTTAACACAATCTTCCATGATGCCCTTTCATTCCCTATACAGTGTTTTTTTTTTTTTTTTTTAGCTGGTATGCAATTGCTTTAGGGGTAATCGGAGGTGCATCAGTTTTTTTACGGAAATGGCAGCAAATATTGTATAATGTCCAGTCACCGCAGAGTAGTTGTTTTACTCTCGATAACGAACACAAGTCTTTTATGTGGTACTCATTTGTATCGGTCCTATAGCCGTCATTACTTCACCCAGAGAAATGACCAGATGACGTCTCGAAAGAGCGCGTTTTCACACGACGACACCGTCATTTGTTTTCATTTTTTTATTTCATATTGGGAAAATGCACATTAAAGTCGGGAGTTTTTGCTTTCCTCGGAAAATATAAGTACATGTTCAGAGAATTTACTTCAAGTAAAGAACACTTTTTCTAAACATACTTTAAGTACCATGTACACAGAGTACTTCCCAACACTGCTTGTTTATTATTTTTATATAAAATCGCTGGGGGAATCGCAACAGGTTTCTCAAACAATGTTTGAACCTTTGAAGATCTGCATATTTAAAGTTTTGGGAGGAAAGCCAACGCAAAAAGGTAATCTTTGCGCGGCCCTTTAGCACCCGATTCTTCGAGTACAGCACAAACTACGGGAGCACCAGATGAGTTTCAGAGCAGGTGCTGCATTTTGTTGCCTCCTTTGAGAGAGGATGCAGTGTGTGCACCTCCTGTAGTAGGCGAGAGTTTCTACGTTGGCGAGAAGCGAGGACCAGCCCTTTCTTCAAATGAGTCAAGTCTCCTTGAGCTTCGGGTCACAGAGAAATGCCAATCTTCGGCTCTGATCCCGCAGTTACACGGCCTCTCTTGCGTCGTGTCTCTTCGCTCCCCGCGCCTCGTAGCAGTGTTGTGGCAGGGGGGCGGGGGGGGGGGGGGGGGGGGGGGGGGGGGAAGGGTGTAAAAGTTATGAGGGGGTTTCGGACTCTCCAAATCATGTTCTTCCCTCCGCCCCGCTTTCCTACGCCACATGCTTCCCCCTTTTTACAGATATCAGCTGATCTTCCAACATCTTACCTTTTTTGTGCAGGAATGTTTGTTGATAGACAAAACAACCACTAATATTCAAAAGTAATTTGTAACTTGAGTTGAAATTACTCCAAAAAAGTAATTAAAGTAAACTACTAATTACCGAAGTAAAAATGTAATTGAAAGTTACTAAACTACTTAGAAAAGTAGTTAAACTAGAGTAACATGGGTAGAGTAGTTGAACTACGTACAAGTCTGCGATCGTGTAGCGTCGGGCATTCCCAAAAAAGTGCCGGAGGTTGGTAGTTGAAGCCACAAGCACTCGTTGGTACACCGAGTGCAACGACTTTTTGGGGTTTCTTTTCGAAGAGAGCTCGTTTGGGACTACGGCGCCGGTCCGTGTCCTGCGGAGTCGATAATGTTGAGGCGGGTTTGCAGTTGGGGCTTGTCGATCGCCCCAAATTTGGTTATGCTTGTGATGACACGCGTAGCCTGCCTGTTGAGGCATTCGACGGGCTGCTTCCGTTTCCGGTGCAGTTGGAGGTAGTTGTATTCATATGTTTCCTTCGAAATCATAAGTGCGTTAACCAACATTCGAAGTGTACACTCTTCCGCTCCCCCTAACTTCGAAGTCGGCCATCCGATCAGGTTCAAGGTGCTCTTTCACGTCTTGGATACCCGAGAACCCGAACCGACGGTTTGCCGTGTACCCGCTTCCATGCATGCATTGCAGGGCGATGCAGACCAGATATTTGACGCCTTGGAGGTGATATTGATTGTTGACCACAACCCCGTGTAGTCGATCCCTTATCAGTCGGAGTGAAATACAGTTTTCCGTTGAAGCCGGTCATGGGCGTACGAGCCGGGAGGGCATGGGGGCGCTCCCTCCCTCCCCCCCCCCCCTCTCAGTTCTCAGAGTGGAGCAGCCAGGCATGGTGTTTTGCCCCCCCCCCCCCCTCCCCTGAAACAGCCACCACTGGGCAGGGTAAATACTGGACAGCGGTGCCCATGGGAGACCAAACGCACCGCCCCTCGGCCCTAAAAGGCGGGGGGTGTTCTCCCCTCTTAAAAACAAGTTAGTACGCCACTGAAGCCGGTGGTCCTCTCTTTCAGTAAACAACCTCCACATCACCATCAAAGTCACTGAACTTGAGGAGCGATTCAAAGAGCAATCTTTTGATGGTCACTGATTTGCCTCAAGATTAGCTTAACACATAAATAGACGCATCTGACTAGTAACCCAAAGTACGCATCGAATCTTTTTTTTTTTTTTCGCTAAGTTTTAAAAGTTTCAAATTTGTTCTAGAGTTTGAGATGCTTTACTGGCAACACTAAAAACGCGACATCAGGTGGTGTAATACGAGGCAATGCGGGAGCTATAGAGCTTGTTCCCGACGGGTTCCAAGAAGTTTGATGGTGTGAAATCAATGTCGGTTAACCTCACGCCAGTAAAACAAAAAACGCGCAAGAAATACTGTGATTTTAAGCTGCCTGCTTGACTTTTAAGTTATACAACATGTGCCGTCACCCCACGGAAGAGCGCGGAGAAATTTGAATGTTAGTTTTGTCATCACCTTCATTTGCCGTGTCCTCGATAGCTATTCTGAACTTTGAAATACTTAACAGCGTGCCGGAAAGAGTAAGGTCTAGGTACCCAAAAAGTTCTTTTAGCTTAGGGACCACCCCAGAGTGAACACCCGAAGTCATCCTTGATGACCGCATAAAGTATATTCTCTCTCTCTCTCTCTCTCTCTCTCTCTCTCTCTCTCTCTGGCTAGCTCAAGAAATCGACGGATATCGCCTTTAATCACCTCGGCGGCACAGGACGCTCCGTGATAGCAGCGACGCCCCATCGTTCCACATCCCGCAGGTACTTGGCCATTTCTCGGCGGCCATGATCGACCAGTTCAGCAACCAGGAGGACCTGACGCTGACGGACCTGGTGCGGCACAACCTCCCGCGGCGCTTCCAGACGGTGGGCTTCTACGTGCGCGTGTTCGCCATGTACGTCATCCCGCTGGTGCTGGCACCGCTGCTCAGGGACCGCTCGCCCGAGAACCACGCCACCTTCATCGTCCTCTACGTGCTCTTCCTCTGGCTTTTCCAGGTCAGAAAAGCCACCGACACGCCACAATATACCTGTCTCTTTAAGAATATTCATCTCGCCTCACCATTTTATTTCTTCACGCGCACCAAAAGAGTGGAAACGCCTTCCCGCGCCAACAGCACCAATATAAGATCACCAACGGTTCAAGAACGTCCTACCTAATATTGTATAACTATGAATCAAATTATTTTGCTACTAGTAACGGCACTTTGTTACTTCGTCTCATAACTAACTTCGTCTCATAACTGCACTCTTCGAACGCGTTCGAAGAGTGCAGGGGACACAAAGTCAGCTAGCTTTGCCCCTACCCACTAATAGACCTATTGCTATATTACCCCAGCATCAAGGAGAATGCAGGGATTGGTGTCCCACGCGCCGCACGAGCTGGCCTCGGCAGTAGTAAATATTCTAAAGCAAAAACCTAAAACAAATTGTATCTTGCACGTGCGTTCGTCAACGCTTTATTTTTGGTTATTTACTTCGAATCTTTTATACGGGGAAGGCGTGCGCGTGTGGCGCGTGGAACACTAATCCCTGCATTCTCCTTGATGCTTGGGTAATATAGCAAATGGTCTATTCTTCCACTCAGAGCTCGGCGTCCTGGCGTCCTCGTGTTCTCCTTTCCCTCAGTTTCTGCAACTATAGTTTGTACACACATGTCTCTCTAATGTCCTAGGTCGTAAGGGTATCTGAAATAAATAAATACATAACATCGTAACAGACACCGAAGCTCCCTGATTTGAACGTGCCTGATCTGCGCGCGAGTTCATGCGGTGTATGAGATCTGCAGTAGAAGCTCCGCTCCTACAGATAGTATTTTACCTTGGAATAGCGGTTCAGTGCACGCGCATCCAAGGTACGATAGAAGGTAACGAGCTCATGGAGCTTCTCTTGTGGATCTTACGTTGTAGCACATTATACTATCGTTCGGAGCAATTTACTCGAGCTTCTAAAATGTAATTAAGAAACTGATTATGCCGAAAGATATTCATTTTCAAAAGTAGGCGCTCTGGTAGAGGCCACGATGACATCAACCTTTTTTCTGGGCGATGCGTTATTTTCGCAAGGTCGATGTGACCAGCGTTCCATCCAACACCTCGCATAATTAGCCGAACAAATTGGTTGGCAGATAGTTTTAAATTAGAGGAACTCCCATATTACTGCTCAAGAGAGTATTAGAAAATAAAAATGGCGGGTAACGCATGTGCCTTCTTTTTTTCCAGTCGATTCCACCAGCCATCGTGTCATTTTTGCCCCTGATTCTGGCGCCCACATTCCTCAATTCTGTAACTGACAGCCTGCTTCAAAACTACACGTCCGAAACAATGGTGCTCTACATAGCGTGAGTAATTTCTCGCGCACTCGATTTTCCTGGTTCAGAAAAGCTACATTAATTAGCTGTCGACGCAATCTATTTTTTAAATTCCCCCAATCACTTGTGCCGGGAAACTGGAACTTAAGTACGCCCTATTTGCTCCAAAACTCGCTGTCGGTAAATGAAGTTTATAAAACGTGTAAGCCCTGCTCTTTAAAAATTCGTAAGAGAACTTAGGACTGCGCGCGAGTGTGGCACGGCCGCTCTGACTGCAAACTTGTAAACACGCGAGCGCGTACTTCAAAGTAGAAAAATAACATTTTTTTATACATCGACGGTTTTTTGGTGACACTTTCGATCTAGAACTATCTTTGGTGCTTCATAATTAATTGCGCCGATCAGAAGCGCCGGAGATTTTTTATTTGCATTTTGAGCCTTTCAGGTGAATGCTGTATCCTCAACATTTTCAGCATTGATCGTTAATCATAAATTTATAGCCGAGCGGTTTCCTAAAACTGAGTAGACAAACAACAAAACACGCACACACACGACTTATCGGACGTGTGTTGTCCAGCATTTGTTAAGACCGATAGCTATGCATGACTACGTACATATCACAACATTCGTAACTCCAGCAACTTATACGGGTCGCTGGAGCTGCCGACAAGCGTAGCGACCGAAAACAGGTCGTGCCTTGCCATGTGCCAGTTCAACGCACAACGCTTGGGTTTAAGCAGGCAAGTATGGACTTCTGAATGGCTTTCTCTGATTTTCATCGACTACGTTCAAAACCTGCGGCAGTGTGCCGGTGTAAGCGGGCTTCCAGGGTCCTCGCCTTCTTCGGGGAAGCGACGGAAGGACTACTCACTGACCTTTTATCAAGCTTATGAACGTTGAAAAACACAGAGTCTCTATTTAACGCGGTGGTTGAATAAGTTGCGTTCAGAGCGACTTCGCCCACACGCTGACACGTCAGTAACGACAGACACACCTCGAAAACGGTTTGCCCTGCACAACGTGAGATGAAATGCCAAACGCGTTAGTCCATTCCGAGTTACTTGTTTCCCTGCGGCCCCGTCGTTGCTGCCATGTTCGGTGCTGTAGACACAATCAACTCAACTTCCCTCGCTTTACTTCAACAACATGCAATCCCCGAAGCCTAAAGAGACGAGCAGAAATTGCGAAAGGACCTGTTACGGCCAGTCCAGCGTTTTCTTGCCGGGTGCCGTCTGTTTTGCTGGAGTCACGTATAAGCTGCGCACATCAAATATTTAAATGCGGAAAAAATAAGTGGCAAACGTCAAGCGCACAACTAATCCTTCTGTTACTTCTTTTTTTTTTTTTTTTTTTTTTTACTTGGCCGTACGTTGCGTTGTTTGATTATTCTCCGGTCTATTCGCTCGCACAATTTAAACTATGTCCTCTCTGAGAGTTTGCAGGAGCGAAAATGTTTAAAACCATCTATATCAATAGATAACATGATCTTTTATGAATTCTCTGGGAAACGCCAGTGACACATTTTTACGGGCTCGATCAACAGCTTCCCTTTTTCTTTGGTACATTTAACGTTACATAACTATAGCAAGGCCCGTGCGCTAGGTTTTCGACGTAAAGGAAAACAGCGCACATTAAACGGGGACTAACGGAAGTGCAAACAGGACAACCGCTGACTCTCAACTGAACTTTAATCACATGAAAAAACAAAACAAAGAGAACAGCAACTCCTCCCACGTCACATGATACATTCACCACGTGTCCAAAAAACAATCTCTTTACTACTTAAGCCCGGTGACGTTTGCCTTACGCGGTTGGCGCCTGCTTTGATAATCGCAGGCGCCTCTAAAATTTCTCTGTTCACTCTATCCCTTTTATTGTCAATGATACCAGTCTTACTGAAGATGGGTTTGCACCCACATCTATGGCAATGCAATGGCAGATGCTTCCCTACATCTTCCACCACTTATCGCAACGACAAGTCATGCTCCCGCAGTCTGTGATTAACACATCTGCCCGTCTGTCCGACGTAGGCTTTTCCACACGTTAGTGGATTTGGGGCACAGATTACGGTTACGAATGTTTAATGAGCAGGGCTTACACGTTTTATAAACTTCATTTAGCGACAGCCAGTTTTAAAGCAAATAGAGCGTATGTGAGTTCCAGTTTCCCGGCACAAGTGATTGTGGGGATTCCACGTCGTCTATCTTAATCGAGTGTGACGCAGAGGTTGGACAGGAGCAGCGTTGTGCACTGTGGGAACCATTGGGTTCCCTCTATCCCTATCCAGGCCTAGCTTCAAGCAGGCCGTGGGAGTCGTCGTCACCAATGGCGTCGGCCTCCCGGATACAAGAAACCACGAGGCCGAATTCCCCGAAGGGGCCGGCTCTCCCTTGCCCATTTGGGTGAACGCGCCTTCGGCACACCCTTGAGAGTTACAATGGACGCGACTGCTAGTGGCCTCCCCGGGCGCGTCCATTCTCCGAGGCTACATAAGCTGGCCCCGAAGGTGGGCCAGGGGCTCTCGTCGGCGGAGGCCCTGGCTCTACGGAGCTCGGTTTTTCTTTGTGGGCCTCCGACTTCCCGTGAATCTGTCTAATGCGGCAGCGCGGGAAACCGACCGGGTGATGCTGGCAATTGAGCCAGCGCCCAGACTTTCTTGTCTAAGAGCGAAGCGTGCTGACATTGCAGTCAATAAACACGTCTTTATCCGGACCCAAGGAACTCTTTGTGTTTCTAAGTGGTAACACCCCAAAAGGGCGAATCCCACATCTGGCGCCCCAACGTGCGGCTTTCCGTGGACTGCAAAGACAGCAGCATCCATCTCCTTTCGCTAAGATAGCGAACCAGGTCAATTTCCGGCCAAGGATCAAACAGGTGGACAAAGGGAGAGGCGAACGCCCGACACCCGACGCCACTCAACGGCTTAGTGGCCACGTCAGCCACGCACGGACACAATGCAGTGTCTTTTCAGCCGAGCTCGCTTCCAAACGGAGGTGACTAAACGCCCGGAATACGTCCGAGGCATTCCCTTTCGGGACGACGCCAGCCTACTTCGCTGGGGAGGCGCATCTGCGCTTTTCGAGGTCAAGCCCGTTCTCGAACAAAGCACGGTGACGCAACACGAAGCAAGTGCAGCTTTTTGCCTTCGAGACGGCTCGCGGGGCCCACCCAGAGTGGACACCCCGTCAGCGCACAAACTAAAAGCGTATCTCGGAGCGAGAAAATGCGCTGTGCCTGCAACACCGGTCCCAGTCTAGCGAGGTTGCGGAGACCGCCGATGGTGCCCTTCGTCGCCGCGTCGACGGACCAGTAGCCATCAGGTTGACCAAGCGACCCCGGAACAAAGGCCCCCGGGAAAACTGAGTGAGTCAAAATGATTTCCTTTTTACTCCGTCTTTCCTTCCCGCAATCAAGGGACAGAGGACTGGCGTGAGCATGGTTTTCGGCTACTAGAATTGAGTATGTTCCGTTTACCCGCGATCGACTCCGGCCAAAAGTCAGTGAGCGTCGCACGCAACAATTACGTTAGGAACCTTTGAGGGCCACCTATCAAGTTGCAACCCCGTAAAAGCGACGTTAAATGTGAAAACGCCGCGGGGTCCGGGAGCGGTTCAATCGTGCTACCGGACAGTGCAACAGGTTGAACAGCGTCCCGGGATGATTGCGTGTCCGACTAAGGTGACCGCTACGCGGTCACTGGACGAGATCGTGAACCACGGCACTCGAGGTGTTCGTTGGGAATCGACGGTAGCACCGATGAGTTTTTGACGCTCAGCGGAACGATCCGGGGTGTGAATATGTGAATAGTTGTAAATATTTTCGCGGACTCTGCGGAGTCGGGCGGTGCGTCCGCCGGGTGGTACGCTCGCCACTAACGTCGCTAAGCAACTCGTATTGTTGCAGACGGGCTTTGGCAGCCGGGCAGCGTACTCGCCGGGTCGAGCAACTCGTGTTGTTGCCGATCGGTGCCGTAAATAGTCTGGTATTGCTATTGGCACGGGGGTTTCTTTTTATTTGGGATCGGTTTCTGTTCTTGCTGATGCGGATAAACTCGTGCTACGGCTCTTGGCCTCTACGAACACTGCAGTTCACGGTGGCTGTCCTGCGCGGCTGGGAGTTGCATTTGGTGCTCTCCTTTGTTCGCGTTGGCCAGGGCAGCACGCGGCTCCAAGACTTTTCGAAGTTAGGTCGCTGTGCTATACCTGGCCACAGGCATTTATGTTTTAGCCTAAGGTAAAAGCTAACATGTTTGAAAAATAACAATGTTGGCGAGCCTGCCCGATAGCAGCCCTGCATCGTTTCAATATCACAAGAAAGGACAGGGTGGTGCATTTGACATTTCATTGCGCCCGTAAATCGAAGCGATTAGGCATCGTTAGCAAAAGCAGCTACAAAGAACTTTGCCTAGTCGATCAGTCACCAACAAATCTATTGTCCGGGGTGACGCGAGTCAGCTTGGTATGTGGACATCCGTGTTCACATTAAGCGGAGTCGTGGAACTTTTTTCACAATAACTTCGCGTGCCGAGCCAGTGCGACGCACGTGACTCACGGCAGAAAAGACATCTTTGTCTCTGCCTCTTTTTTATCTCTGGGGCCTTTTGCATCCAGAGATTGGTCGAGTATCCTCAGTTGGACGGCTCCACCTTGTTCGGAATTTCCGAAGCTTCCTTCTTGGGGAACGAAACGGGAGAGGGGGGCAGAGCGCAGGCGGCATTCCAGTTCCCGGCGGTTCCTGGGTCATGGACTCATGGTTCCACACCGAAGCTGCATTGACGCCAGGGAGCGTCATCGTCGCCGTCGCCGGCCTGCCTGTCCAGATCCGGCTCCTCGGCTGCTGGCCAAGATGGCGGCAGCCACCCTCCCCCTGCCTGGACTCGTCTCCAGGCCAGTAACACGTGGCATCTCGTCGCAGACCCAAGCTGTGGACCCGTGCCGACAGCAAGCAGCTCGCATCCCGTCACGGACCCGGTGACAGTGCCCGTGCCACATGGTGCGTCCCAAGGAGAGACGCCCAGCCGCCGTACTTTCCGCGGTTCCGCGAACATTTCATCGGGGAGTGACCGGGCCGATCCTTTCTGCCCCCGGCCAGGCCCCTACTTGGACCCTTCAACGCTGCTCCGGTAAGCCTGCCACGAAGCGTGGGCTGAAAAGTTCGACTGTACCCGGGGTCCACTTGCAAGCAGCGAGCTAGCGTTTTCAGCATGTACCGCGCTGATCGTTTTTTTATTTCTTTGTTTTTCTTCGCGGCATATGCTCCTTCGCTCTAGCGTTTCGTTTTTTTTATTTTGTTTTTGAGAGCCGGTAGGCCATTTTATTTTTAGGCCTACCTTAGCCTTGAGAAGGGGGGAGTGTGGGAACCATTGGGTTCCCTCTATCCCTATCCAGGCCTAGCTTCAAGCAGGCCGTGGGAGTCGTCGTCACCAATGGCGTCGGCCTCCCGGATACAAGGAACCACGAGGCCGAATTCCCCGAAGGGGCCGGCTCTCCCTTGCCCATTTGGGTGAACGCGCCTTCGGCACACCCTTGAGAGTTACAATGGACGCGACTGCTAGTGGCCTCCCCGGGCGCGTCCATTCTCCGAGGCTACATAAGCTGGCCCCGAAGGTGGGCCAGGGGCTCTCGTCGGCGGAGGCCCTGGCTCTACGGAGCTTGGTTTTTCTTTGTGGGCCTCCGACTTCCCGTGAATCTGTCTAATGCGGCAGCGCGGGAAACCGACCGGGTGATACTGGCAATTGAGCCAGCGCCCAGACTTTTCATTGTCTAAGAGCGAAGCGTGCTGACATTGCAGTCAATAAACACGTCTTTATGCGGACCCAAGGAACCTTCATTGTGTTTCTAAGTGAGACCCCCCAAAAGGGCGAATCCCACAGCACGTTCCTCCAAAACTAGAACGAAAGCTTGTTTCTCGGTCCTCTTTAATCTTGGAACGGGTTTTCGTTACAACACTTCCAGTGATTCAAAAGGAACGCGTTCCCGTTTCAAGTTTTAAGGTGCGAACATGTCGTCAAGTTAACGTTACGTTTGATTATTTCAATAAAATATTGTACCGCATAATTCGCATATAAAATAAAGCGAGCGAGTGAAATATCCACATCCAACTACGTGTCGAGTCGTTACAATGACGTTTGTTACGGTTCTTTGTTTGCGACTGTCCCTCTGACACTTCTCCGTACTCCTTCACGTCGGAGGTAAAAATAGTCGATAATAAAAAAGCCTAACTACCTACTAAATTCGGGTAACATTGCAGATAAATCAAAAACAAAAAAGCGCCGTTCTTCCTGCTGCTTCACTAAAAACGGAAACAGTTCCCGTTCCAGTTCCAACGACCCAAGACGGAACGACGGAGTTTTTCCGTTGCTCCTAAAAGGAACGCGTATGCCAAGAGCGTCGTTTCTGGGAACGTCGTTCACTACAACGCTGGAGAGTTTTAGGGAACCGTTTTTGCATATCCGATATGTACGATGGGCCCTCCGGTGCGAACTGCGCATGCGCTATACAACAGAAGACACGCATATGTGGAGTGAGTACCGGAAGGCCCATGGTACAGTATGAATGTGCATTGAAACCGTTCCCTAGAACTCCCTACTGTAAAAGGGGTCCTAACCGACCGACGACGCAGCAGTGAGGCCGAATCTGTGCCCCGCACCGGAAAGAGGACGCGAAGTATCCAGTGCAGAGCCCGCCGTCTATAGTCGGTGACAGGCTAAGAGGTACCCAGTATAGATGTACTGTTCCGCCTACAGCTCGGGCTTTCTGCTTTGGATAAGCACTCCGTCGCAAGCGCAGCCGAAGCCTGCTGGTAGACAACGAGCGAGTGCTGGAGGCGGAGCTTCAACTCACTTCTTGGCCCGCTACCGAGCATGGGTGGTGTGGGTACTGAACCGCTATATTAGAGCGCAGCTCTTAGGGGCCCGTTTCCAGCCTGAGCGGCGTCGGCGTCGACGTCGCCGTCGGCGTAACCGGGGGGGGGGGGGGGGGGGGGGTCACGTGACCCCCCCCCCCCGAGGTCACGTGATCCCCCGAGGTCACGTGACCCCCCCCCCCCAGGTCACGTGACGTCCCCCCCCTCCCCGAGGTCACAGGACCCCCCCTCCCCCGTGATCATGTGACCCCCCGGGGTCACGTGACTACCCGCAGGTGACGTGACCCCTCAGTACCCTTCCTTACTCCTCCTCAAGAGCTGCGCTCCTATTCGGCGTTACAGGGATTTGTAAACGGCTTTCATTTTTTTTTTTAATGGCGTCATGAAAACTTGCCAGAATCTGGGTCTCTAAGCTCGTCAAACACAAAGTTGGGGCAGAAGTTGACGCGTCGCGCCGATTAGCCGATGACGGCGATGACTTCGCGTCTTTTTTTTGCCGACGCCCAATCGGCGCGCTCCGCGAACGTTCGGCTCCAACTTTGTATTTGACGAGCTTAGGGAACCTTGATGGCAACAACAAGGAAGGTATGCGAAGAAAAGGATCGGGAGACTACCCTCGTAGTCGCCAATAAAATAAGTACACGCGCTCTTTTGGCACGTTTCTCTGTCGCATCAAGATCCAATGGCGACAAATAGGACTAGCGGGAGCTGGGAAACCGGGTTATTAACGTTCTCCCCATCATACGATTATTTCCTGACGTTATCCTGAGTTTCCCCTTACAAGAAGAGATTCGTTTTCTACTTTTGAGGCAAGTCTGCTCATTAAATGGAAGGTCGATTAAGCAAATTGCGCACCGCGAAGTAATTACCCTTTCTTTGCTCGTTTCGACAGAGAGTATATTTAGCAATATAGTTACGTACACGCTAATGACCTCCAGAGGAGCGAGGAAGTGGAGGAAGAGGAGCGGTGAGGAATTGTTACTTGAGGAGAACGAATTGAGTAACTTAAAAAAAAATAGATTGTTGTTCTTTGTTGTTTCTAAACACAACGCATATAAACAATAACTGGTATCTCTCGCGTACATTGAAAGCGTTAAGAACTTGTTCTCTGTATTTGCTTTATGTGTGTGCTTCGGGGATTCTAATCTTTGAGAATAATAACCCTGAACACTCTGTTCATCATTATTATTATTCATCACAGATCGCTAAGGGAGCTAGGCTAGAGAAAGAAAGCAGCCAGATGGAAAGGATTATTCAATCACCGGCGCTAATTAGCTGGCCATCGTCACGCTGCTGCGTTCTGCTTTTTTTCTGTTCCGCCACTTAGGTCCTCTAGAATCAGAAAAGGCATACGGTGTAATTATTTTATCGCGCTTTTAATGCGGAAGAGAAGCACGCATGCTAGTCCGATCGGGATTTTTTTTTTTTTCGCTAATGCACTGAAATAAACGGAGTAAAACTGTACTTTAGTGCTCATTTTTACACATTGGTGTGGCCACACCTCTGGCAACTGCTGAAAATAACACGTTACTCGTAACGCGTTTCTTTATTTCAGTAACGTACTAACTTACTCATGAGCACCCAAAGCGATTAACGAGTAAAGGTATCTCGTTACTGTTTTACGGTATTGTCTATCAAGGTATGCGTCACCTGTTACTCTTGACTAAAATCGGAACCACGCTGCTTTCTACAACTTTCATCAACGAAGGATAAAAAATGTCAAATCGCTCTTCAGAAGCTTATTTAGCGCCGAAGTTCGTCATGCGGCTTGTCGCTGCCAAATACTAAAATCTAAAGTAACGCAAAAGCAACATTTCTTAGTATTTAGAAGCAACGGTAACGGTACTACGTTACCTTTTTGTAAGACGGCTTTAAGTTTTTAAGGATTAACAAGTAAGGCTATTCCGTGGACGACATAGCAAAACGCGTACAATAATGAATTGACGATTCTTCTGTTACCATGGTTTAGGTACGCGTTGGTGGTGAATGGCGTGGAGGCGACCAACCTGCACAAGAGGCTTATCCTGACGTCGTTGCTGGTGTTTGGCGGCAAGTCCGGCTTCATCATCGGCGGCTTCGTGACCACCACCATACTGGTCTCGATGTGGACGAACGCGGTGAAGACTGCCGCCATTGTGCTGCCCATCGCCATGGAGGCCATCCAGCACATCCAGGACAACCGTCTCTTCCATGTGTTCGAGCTGCGCACGCGCTTCCTGCACAAGCCGTTGGGCATCGGCACGCCGATCGTGGAGGCCCGTTACTTGATCGAGGGTGGCATCGTCATCCCAGACGTGATTCACATCCTCAGCGAGTTTTTCACCGTCAAAAAGGGCCTCCTGATCGGCATCTGCTACTCGGCTGTGCTGGGCAGCATGGGTTCCGTGGTCGGTTGCGGCGGCAACCTCTTCGTCAAGGCTTTCATGGAGCAGATGTACAACTACCGCACTCTCACCATGTCCCACTGGGCGCTGTCGCACATGCCGCTTACCGCCCTGTGTGCCTTCCTGTTGTGGATCGTGCTGTCCGTGTGTTACTCCAGCGACGTGGTGTCCAGCGACCACATCTCCAAGCGCGCCTTCGAGGACGTCATCTACAAGCGGTTCGCCCAGCTGGGCGCCATGACTTACACGGAGGTGGCCACTCTGATCCTACTGTTCATCATGGCGCTGGCCATTATCGCCACCCACTACTACGCCGAGTACTCGGAGACCCTTGGAGCGGACAACCCGTTGAGTGAGAACGCGTGCGTCTGCATCACGGTCATCGTGATGTACGCCCTGCCTCACGTCGGCACCGAGGAGGCCAAGTCCAACAGGCGTTGCCGGGTCCACAACGTGGAGCAGGCCGTCAAGAAAATATCTTGGGCCTTCGTGATCACCATGGGCGCCGGCATCTGCGTCGCCAAGCTCATCGTGGGCTACAACCTGCAGAAGTTCTTCATGCACCTCTTGCCGCACAACCTCATCTCGTCCACCTTCTGGCTCCAGGTGCTGGTTGCCTGCGTGGCGCTTGTGCTGGCGGAGATCAACAACTCTCTGAATAACATCATTATTTTCGCACCAATTATAGCACACATGTCGGACGCCGTCAAGGTTCATCCCATGTACTTAGTGATGCCCTTCACCTTCTGCTCCTACTTTGGCTTCGTTCTTGCGTCGGCCACCCCGGTCTGCGAATACGTTGCTGACTACGGAGATCTTCAGGAGGATGAATTCCTGCTGCCGGGTATCGCCATGAAGATAGGCTGTACCCTCATAGTCATCCTGGCTTACAACACCTGGTGCTGGGACAACTTCTCATTGCGCATGCCACTGGCTCCACTAATGAGAAATGGAACAGCATCAACTTTTTTATAGCGGCGTTCGAACATGTGACCGTTCACGCAGAGCGACGCTTTGTCTATGTCGATTGTGCGTAATGTGGAGTCACAAGGACACTGAAATCACTCTACTGAAGTAATTTTAACCTGGAAGGGATCAACAGGCATTCGTATTTCTGACTTTGTTTTTGGTTAGACGTAAGGGCGGTAACGGCTGACTCAAAAGGGGCTTTTTGGTGTACGGACGACGCTTTAACGTACAGAGTACTAACGAAGGAAAGCAACATTTATACCACCGAGGAGAGCCCAACATAATTTCTTTATAAGGAACATATCTCGAGCAGACTCTTCACTTCGAAGAACTGCTGCGCTCCAAACTGCTGCACTGCTGCACCACAAAAATACAGATAACGCAAACCTGCGGCCGATGGGTACATTCTTAGAACGTAATTATAAATCATAAGTTTAGAATCTTCGCTACTGGACTGGTTTGTGGCCAGCTTGCCTGAAAATGTACTCATGAAAGGAGCTCTTCAACATGTCTCAGATGAGTACTACGTGTCTCCAGGCTCAGTTAGATATGTTTTGTTTCCTCATACTTCTTTCAAGCCGTTTCACAACTGAGTTGATCCCAACCACCATTAAAATTTTGCCATATTTTTGAAGTTAACATTTTTACAGCGATGGGCAGGCAGAGCTTCGGCATTGGTTGAAGAGGTTAGTTCAAGTATGCGCACTTTTCCTTTATGCTTATACGCGTAGCCGATTATCCTTGTCCTGGGGAATTTGGCAAACTTTTCTTACCACGAAGTTACAGATGTGCATACACAACTTTCTATGCACTACATAAAGTCTTACTGGGGCCCTATGCTCTACCGCGGGACCAAGCGGTACCGGACACCGTCGTCTACCGCGATTGGTGAGCGGCGCGACGCTGACCAATGGCAGCAGACCACGGTGTCCCAATCCCTTGGTCTCGCACGGTCCCGCCGTATAGCATAGGGCCCTTGGTTTGGTTTAGCGTCGAGGACAGCTTGTCACTGCGTGTTGGAGTGTGATATTAAAAATAGATACGGTCCGTGGAAAGGAAGATGTGACACTTCAACCCAGGCTATTTCTTTCATTTTTTTTTAATCAAGTTCGGAACCGTTCCTTGCTAAACTGAATTATCCAGAATAGTATATAATCAACGTGGATGACTCATATAAACACCCAAAGCGTATCCCAGTGTACATATATTTAGTTTACAAATAGTAGACTCCCTGGCTTACGGTGTTAAAAGGCGACTACGGGATACATGGATGCCCGTCGCCTCCCTCCGCTCTGTGAAAGCTACGCTTAGTGTTTATTTTTAGTCGCAGTGTCGAGCAAACACGAGGGAAATATCACAAGGGGGTGCCGGAAAAACAGCATGGCGCTTTGATAGCTCAGTTTCCTACAGTTCGGCGAGTTTCAGCGCTGCGTCCCCATATTGTACGACAGGACAGCACACACAAACGCACACACAAACGCACACACAGCCGCACACACTGCAGACGTGATCGGGAGAGTATGCGAAACACGCGCTTGGGAACGCGCTGAAGCACCGTGGAAAGAAACACAGCGGACAAACGAATATTTTAGCGTTATGTATACTTTTTTGAGTTTCCTCGACCCGCATTCCCTGGGACGCGGGCGGATAAGTCATGCACAAATAAAATTTAAACTAATTTTAGTATGTGGCCAAATACAGTTCAGAACGAATTCTATCTATCTGTGAAAAGATGATGAACTGACACGGGAAAACGGACAGAAGGAGACTTTTTATAGACAACATTCGCGACGTTTTGTAACATGTGTTTTTAGTAGGGGTGGGCGAATATTTCGAATACGAATCGAATATACATATACTATTCGTGTTCGATTCGTAAACTAAGACTTCGGTATTTTTCGAATATTTGTCCTAACACGAATATTCGAAATCAATCGAATATTCGAGAACGTATTCGCAAGCGTAAGTTTTGCTTTCGGCTTCGATTTTGGTAAGTAAGGCCCATTAACAGCGACATAGCTGCATGGTAGCTTCAACCTAAACTGGTGGCACCGGTGTAGGTAGCGGTAATCTGTACGTTTCTGTGTCCTTGGGACTCTTGACTTTTTAAATTGCTCACTTTCGCGCGAGCAATTTAAAAACGGAGAAACGGACGGGAAACGGCTCCAAAACGAAGAGAGAGGAGCGCTATTTTGAATTATTCTGCGTATTTTACGGCTTCGATGGCACAATGTACGGCATGCGACTCAACGCTTAAAGCGCCTACAGGGACGACAACGCCCCTTGTCAATCATCTCAGAGTACATCGTCTGTTGTTCAAAGAGTGATTACCACTGGTACGCCACGAAAAGATCAACCGACGCTGACGGAACGGACTTTGTGCACCGCATGGAGCCCCTGCCAGAAAAGAGGCTGCGAGCGCTAAATAACAAGGTGGCCGCCATGGTGGCGCTTAATTTACAGCCTTACAGCATTGTGGAAGACCGCGGCTTCAAAGAACTTCTGACAAAAGCCGTTCCCAACCATAGCCTTACCATCTCGATCTACACTCTCACGCGTGCTTGTGCTACCGACGTATGACGACACCCGAAACAAGGCGAAAGCAGAGCTCCACAGCGCCTTTGAAGGCGGCGCTGCCGCTGTTGCATGTGGACATCGCGCGCTAACGAAAGGTACGTGAGCTTCGCCTGCCATCTTCTCACTCCAAAGTTCATGATGAAGTGGGTCACAGTGAACATTCAACACATGGCTGCCAGTCACAGTTCAGTGAACATTGCAACCATGCTGTACGAAATGTGCCGTGACTGGGAGATACCAACGAGATACCCGATGAATTTGCGACGTTCATCGTAACGTATAACGGGCGCGACATCCGTACTGCAGTAAGGAGACTCCCGTGGACTGAAAGAGCGTGCCTCGCGCATACGCTTCAACTGGCGATTAATGACGCGAGATCCCGTTCGCCGGCCATTGATCACCTGGGCAAAAAAAGAGAAGCATATTGTGGTACATTACAAGCACAGTTCATCAGCTCAGAAAACTCTTGAGGAGTTCAAAAAGAAGACGAGAAAGGACGCACTACGTCCGGTGCAAGTCGTAGAGACGAGATGGAATAGTCAGTATCTAATGTTGTCTCGCCTTCTGGAACTCAAAGAAGCAGTAACTGTGGAACTTGCTACCTCGGACTGTGACATTGATGGACTTGGTTCATCAGAGTGGAAAGATGTTTCTGAATATGTGCAAGCATTGAAGCCATTCTTTGATGCCGCTCTTATTGCCAGTGCTGAGAACGATCCGTCTTTGTCCTCCGAAGTTCATATAATTTTGGTATGCCCCACTCTCTAGGTAACTGTGCTGGGCCATCGTAATTTCCCGCACAACTGATAAGATTCATCAAGGCAAAGTTCCCTTTGTATAAGGAGGACAAGGAAGCATGTCTTTCTACGTTCTTGGACCCATGCTTCAAGTACACTATTTGTAAAGCTGAACAGAAAAAAACTATTATGGCTAAAAGCTCTGGTGCTGCAAAAGCTAGCCTCATGTGATGCTACTGAAGAAACCCAGCCGGAAGCTGCAACACAGTCAAAAGAGCAGGGCTCAACACCTTCAGCAATGTTCGGAAAGCATGTGACCACTTAGCCAAAAGTGCAATGGAAAGCAAAGTTGTTTCAGCTTCAGAATAAGAGGTTGTAGCTTATGCGGAGGAGGCACTGCTAAAAAGAGAAAGTGATCTGTGTGAGTTGTGGCGAACTGTCGGGTTCTTAAGATAGTCGAGTGGCGAAGCTTTGCATCAAATACCTGGCAATACCTGCTACTTCAATGCTGAGTAAGAGTTTTTTTGTTTTTTTTTTTGGCTGGAGGTGTAGATCCGCTCGAAGGGGACGCCTCCTATCTGACCATGTGCAGCAGTTGATTTTTCTGCATGACAACTTGTGATCTTCCCTACAACTGGAATTTTCGTTTCTGTGTCTTTATTCTCGTTAACACCAGCACCTCACTGGTGTTAACGAGAATAAAAACACAAAAACGAAAATTCTACTTGTAGTGAAGATCACAAGTTGTCATGCAGAAAAATCAACTGCAGTTCTGCAGTTCAGAAATCAAGAAATCAAAAATCAAAAGAAAAATACACTGTAGTTCCAACATGTGAAAATAAAAGTGCTGTAAATAAAGGCAACTGCCTTCGACTATTCGATATTCGATTCGATATTCGAGGCTAACCATTCGTATTTGATTCGTATTCGGAAATATTAATATTCGCACACCCCTAGTTTCTAGCTTCCAGAGCTGTCCCAGCCGTCGCCGGATCATTTCGCAGCTATTTGCGCAAGACGAATGTTTAATTACACGGTGGAGAAAGCGAAGCAGACAAATTGGACCGAGATGTTTGGGCAACAGTTACGAGGCGCAGATGAAAAAATGACAGTTAGAAAAAGAGTTAAAGCTGCAAAAATGATCATATTGGAAGCAGCTACGCAGGTAAAGTCATCCACGGAGTCTACAGCCAGGGCCGGATTGAGGGTCAGAAAACGCCCGACATGTTTGACGAGTCGGAAAGCCCTAGACTGCCAGTGTTCAAATCGCACTGCACTAAGGAACTTGGAGGTCACGATTCCACAGAATACCGTTTCGACGCGTTGTATGACGGGATGGCCGTTTCGTCACCCACGCATAATGCGTTACAAGCGGCCCGTCATCCGCGTTATAGTACGACCCGTCGGACGTTTTGCCTAGCACGCCACTGCCGCGCTTTAAAATGAGAAAGTGATGGTTGTTAGGGCACCCCAAGCGTACTCCTTTTGTCGCGTCATTGTTGAATTGCTAAGAGTCACTGAGAGGTTAAGGAAGGTATAGGGCGTGCCCAGTCTCGAGTCTCTTATTACGATTCCGCGGTCAATGAAATTGCGGCATCAGGCGATAATGAGGCAAAAGAACGAACCACACGGGGAAAAAAAATTAACATAAGACACGCCCGGTGTTTCTTGAGCTGTCTGTGACTGCATACC